GCAGACAGCGTGCGCACCTCATCAAAATCACCAACTCGACGGAGAATGTGCCCTTGGAGAAACTTGGAGCTGAGATTGTTTCCTGGGAAAATCGCATCTGTGACTTTGAGACTGAGAGCAGACCGCCGTCGGACAAAGTTGCAGACAGTGTGAAGATGGCTGTGCTCACCGCGATGTGCCCGAATCGACTGAGGGAGCACGTGCAGTTGAACGCATCGAGGTTCACCTCGTACTATGACTTGCGGGAGGTCTTCAGCTTTTTGGATCACGTGATGTCAGCAGCTGTGGCACCTATGGACATCGGTGCCCTCAATGTTCAAGGCTGTTGGGAATGTGGTTCAACACAACACTATGCCAAAGATTGCCCCCAGAAGAGCGAAGGCAAAAAGGGCAAGTCGAAGGGTGGCAAGAATTCCGGCAAAGGCAAATCTGGCAAAGATGCGGGGAAGAAAGGAAAAGGCAAAGACTTCAACAAGGGCAAGGGCAAGAACTATGGCGGCTATGATGGCAAAGGTGGAAAAGGCAAGAAGGGCCAGGAGTTCAAGTCGCTCAACTCAGTGGCAGATCCGAGGCTGGGGCAATTGCAGTCAGCCTATGCAAAGGCTGCGATGGAAGCCTACAACAGAGAGCGAAGCACTCCAGCAGTGGTGCCAGCGATTGCTCCACCGCTTCCAGCGGGCTCTGGTTCTTCGAGTTCAGGGGCTGTGGTTCCATCTCAGCCCAAGTTTGTTTGCTATCAGCCGCAGGGCCTAGCAAGTTGTGGCAGATTACACTGCCGATCCGATGAGGTTCATCCATTCAGATGGGGCAGATTGGAGATTGAGGAGGATGATGCAGGGAGCCTACATTGGAAGCAACCATCGACTCGGGGGCAGCAGCATCAGTTTGTCCTCCCAATACCTTTGCAGGGTATCCACATCATCCGCCAGATGACCAACAATACTTTGTGGCTGCGAATGGGGATCTTGTTCCAGAGCTCTACAAGGTGCATCCTGTGATTGCTACGGAAGAGGGTTTTCTTAGACAGACCCAATTCAGTGTGGCGAACGTGAACAAGATCTTGGTCTCAGCAGCTCAGATTTGCAATCGTGGCCACAGGATCATTTTGGATCGTCCTGCGCGTTGGTCGTACATTGAGGATGGGGACACCGCAGGGATGATGATGCTTGAGCAGAAGGATGGTGTCTACGTGCAGAAGTTCGCGGTGATCCAGCCCAGGAATGTGGGTTTTCAGGGGCCGGCGCCTTTCATGTGGCCCAGGCCGTTGTAGCTGTAAGTCCACTGGAAGAGCACACACAGCTCAATGCAGTTGATGGTGTTCCAGGCGATGATGGTGCAGATGTTGATGGAAGTGAGCCGTACGAAGCTACGACTCCTAGAGATGGTCCAGTCGATGATCACCAAGATGGAGTTAACGATGATTTCGAAATTGGTGTTCCTCGAGAATTCATTGATGAGGAGGATGACATTGTTGTGCATGAAGAGCATGAAGATGCAGTGGAGAAAGCGGGGTTGCCATCACCTTTGCAACCTATGGCTCAGGAGATTGAAGAGCACTCCATTGCCCACGTTCCGTACAGAAGCTGGTGTGAGCACTGTGTTCGAGACAAAGCTAGGACCTCAGCACATCCTACCAGTGCCGGGCCCAAGTTGGAGGAGAAGAGGGCGACAATCGCCATGGATTACTTCTACTTGGGCAAGCATGATGAGGGCAGTTTGCCCATCCTTGGTGTCGTGGAGGAACTGACGCAGAGATGTTTTTCGGTGACTCTGCCGAGCAAAGGCTTGGGACATCAGTACAACCTAGCCAAGTTGGAGAAGTTGGTCAAGGTGCTTGGAGTTCAGTTTGGTGTTGTGAAGAGCGACACTGAAAGAGCTATGGTGGTACTTCGAGAGGCGGTGCAGGCAAAGTTTCCAAACCTCAGCAGTGAGAATGCCATGAAGGGCGAGAGTGCTTCCAATGGCTTGATTCGAGGCCACCATTGGAAAACTTAAAGGCCAAGCACGGACCCTCAAGAGTGCATTGCAGGCCAGATATGGTTGTGAGATTGGGCCGAGACATGTTGTGCTGCTGTGGCTTGTTGACTATGCTGGTGCAACGTTGAGCAGGTACCAGAGGGGTGCTGACGGGAGGAGTGCCTATGAACGCAGCACGAGAAAGCCCTGGCGTTTGAAGTTGCCGGAGTTTGGAGAGGGAATCCTTCATCAACCTCTCAAAGAAGAGCATGCTGTGCTGGTTCGAAGTTGGATCCAAAGTTTGGTGTGGTGAGAGCTTGGCCAGTGAAAAGGAGCGCGATGGAATTTGGAGGAGTTGAATCAGATGGTTGGGCTTCCTTGGCAACTGAAGCCGCCAGTTGAGGCTTCGAAGATAGTTGAAGCTGGTGGTGGAATCAACTTGGAGGTGGAGTACCAACCGCCAGAAGAGCCGAAGAATGTGAAGGAGAAGCGCAGAAAGGGCTATGTGCCTCGGGGTATCTGCATTCGTAAAGATGTAGAGCTCAAGCAGTTCGGCTACACGGAGAACTGCCATGGTTGCATTGCAGCAGAGAAGGGTCTTGGACATCGACAACATTCAAATGCCTGCAAAGAGTGGATTGCTGAGGCTTTGTCCAAGACAGATGAAGGCCGGCTCAGGCTGGAGTTGATCAAGAAGCGTGAGGAGGAGTACATTGTGAAGTACCAGGAGGAGGAAGAGAAAAAGCGCAAGGGAGAACCACTTGCGGATGCTCCACTGAAATCCACCAGAGTGGAGGAACCATCACTTGAGGATTTGATCGCAGACAGCGGTCTGGCTGATGCCCTTGGTCCTGCAGGTAGCAATTTTCCAGGACATCAACGGTCGAGAGTACCTTAGCTGGTGGCCCGCCAGGAGGAGTTGGGCGCCCATCAGCTGCGGGAAATCCCGGCGAGCCCAGCACAGCCATGGAGGAGGCGTTGAGGAGCAGGGGACGTCACTCCCTGCAATGGACATCGGTGCACTACGAGTTCTCAGTTTGGGTGATGGTGGTACAGAGGTGGATGAACAATTTGTTGCACGTTTGAGAGAGGCAAGCTTTGCGGAGGCCATGGATCAGATGGCAGATGAGGAAGTCGCCAAGAGTTCAACTTGACTTCCAAAGAGGTGTGATGGGCTCTGCTGCAGCATATGGCGTCACAAAACCAGAAGTTGCTGAACTGTATTCACCACCAAGAGTCACAGAGTACGGTGCAAGAAAAGGGGTCCTCAGTGGATTCGCTTTTGACCTCACCACCAATGATGAGGACGGCAACCCCTGGGACTTCACCCAAGCGGGGCAGAAGAAAAAGGCTGCAGACAAGATAGCCCAGATGGAACCCGATCTTTTGGTTGGTTCCCCAATGTGCGGGCCACGTAGCAATCTTCAACATCTCAATGACAAGACCGAGGAAGATGCAGAGAAGCTTCGGTTGAAAGAGGCTGAAGGTGAGGAACACCTTGAGTTTTGCGTTGAGCAGTATGTGGAGCAGATGAAAAGAGGTGGAATTTTTCTCCATGAACACCCTCAGACAGCAAGGTCATGGAAGAAGGGGTGCATCAAACGATTGGCTGAACGTGACGATGTTTTCATGGTCACTGCCGACCGTTGTCAATATGGCTTGAGAAGTCGTGATCAGTTTGGTGAAGGTGCGGCGAAAAACGCAACAACTTTTCTTACCAACAGTGAGGAGATGGCCAATCAGCTCAGTTTGCGGTGCACCAGCAGCAGACAATCTTTGGGTATTTGGAGACAATATGATTTCAAGTTGAAGTGAGCAGGAGGTCCGAGAATGTGGGGGCCAAAGCGTTATCCAGTTGTTCGACGTGTGATTTTAGATGTGAAAAATATGGTTGTCCTTCAGGACTTGCAAGATGCGGCCAATGCAACAAAGGAGGAGTGGAAGTTTTCTATTCCACGTCATTGCAAAGAAGTTCAAACAATTTTCTACTATGTGAAACTGGTTACACTTGGCACCGGCATGTGCCACTCACTGATGGCCGAGCGCGCAATGCGCAAGTTGACCCAGAAGGTCTTGTACGTGCAATTGTTCAGGGCCTGCTCCGACATTTGAGGGGCAAAAAGACGTTGTTCTGTGGCGTCAGTGTGGGGCCGGTGAATCAGGAGAATGACATTGATTTTTCCCTTTTCAAAAATTCTAATGAAGATGACCGGCGGACATTTGTGGATGAAGTGAGCGGTAAACCACTGAACACCGCAATGGTCGAGAAGGCAGGTGAGGAAGAGCTCAGTTTTGCAGAGCGCTACAATGTTTGGACATTGGTGCCTACGCAAGAGTGTTGGGACAATACAGGTGCTGGACCGATTGGGTCAAGGTGGATTGACATCAACAAGGGCGACGACAAAAATCCGTCCTACAGATCGAGGCTGGTCATTCAAGAGGTTCGACACAGTGGGATCGAAGCAATTTTTGCAGCGACACCGCCACTGGAAAGCTTCAGATTTTGCTTTCCCTGCAGCGTTCAACCAAGGAGAAGTTGAAGGTCATGTTCATTGACATCCGCCGTGCTCACTGGACTGCACGGATTGAGAGGCTGGTATACGTCAGACTTCCGGCCGATGTCTGTGGTGCAGATCAATGTGGCCGACCCAACAAGGCCATGTATGGTTGCAGGGATGCGGCTCAATGTTGGGAAGCAGAAATTACAGATCTCTTTACAAGTATTGGTTTTACACCGGGGATTGGATCACCAGTGCTTTTTGTCAATTTGACGCGCAACGTCAGGGTTACAATTCATGGAGATGACATCACTTCGCTTGGCACGGAGGAGAACTTTTTTGTGGTTGAAACAGCAATTGGAGACGAGGTATGAATTGAAGTTTGGTGGTCTGCTTGGACCAGATCGTGGTGACGTGAAAGACGCCATGATCCTCAACCGACTGGTGCACTATGATGCTGATTCTGGTGAAACGACTTACGAGTCGGATCCTCGCCATGTGCAGATCCTCCTGAGCGAGTTGAATTTGAAGGAGGCCAAAGACTGAACTTTTGGATGCGACAACAATTTCGAGGTTCAGATCTTTAGTTCTTACCTCTATTTGCAACAACGAATCAGCGACAAAGACCTCAGGCTGCAGAAAGTGGGGACAAAGGTAAGCCCCTCGGATCTGGGCACCAAATTTCTGGAAGGTGTCGGTGTCAGAATCCAAGAGATCATGTCCTTGAGGTACGAGGCCATCGAACATAAGATGACGCTCCATGTGTGGACGATTTCACATGAAGGTGAAATCGAGGGGGCCTGCATGAGTTCCATACATGTGGTCACCCGCAGCTTCGCCCAGTCAAAAGTAAGCCGCTGTTGCCCGTGTTTGCGGCTGTGAGGGTTTTGCAATATGTATATATAAATATAAATATAAATATATATATATATAATAATATGTATAACCCCAGCAGTATACATCAAGGCCTTGTGGTTCAATTCAGAGTTGACAACCGATGTTTTCTGGGTAAAATGCATCACTTCAAACGTTCAAGACATATGCTGCGAATGGAATTTTCAAGACGTCACTTTTTGAAAGTGAGATCTACTTGGTTGCGGTTGCCAGTTTGTAGTTGTGCTTGTACAATTTCGACACTTCTGTTTTCCGGAAAATGATTTTGATTGCAATGACTGAACTGCTCCAAATCCCTCAACTTGAGGACTCTCGGCTGACATTTGAAACAACAGATGGTTGACTTCGGGTGCATGAACGACCTCATTGGCACATTTGCGATGTTGGATGACATGCAATGCCTATGCCACTTGGCAACCACTTAATTTGCCCCAACCGTTTTCCTCTATGTTCCCCTTTCTCCAAATAGTCTGCCTTGTGAATTCTACATGCCATCTTCTCTAAATAACCACATATCTGCCTCAGGGCAGAGTCGGGAAGGATCTTGTGGTGTGTCAGTGTAGTCTTCAAGTGGTTCGACCTTTCGATTTTTTTTGGACTTGGCTCGCAGGTGACCACGGGGACTTGCGCAGTGTGTCAGGAAGGCACCGTAGACAATGTTGATGCTTGCTCTCTCCACAATTGGCTGCCGACTGCAAACTTTTGCAGGCTGCAGCGAAATTGAAATAGGATGCACGCATGGTAGGAAAAGGCCAGAGGTTTTGCACAGTTTCATTTGTGCCCATCTCTGCTGTCCTTTCCTTGTATATCATTGCCAGACAGTGCAATTGTCAGGCAAATTTGAACTAAAGATCCCAACCTGAGGGTGAAAGGCAAGATTCCCCTGTTTGTTTTTGAAATTATATCGTGCCCCCTTGTTCAACAAGTTGAAGGTGTTAGGTCTGTTTAGGTGAGCTAGTTGCCAAAGACTGTTGACTCCATCCATGCAAGGGATCGTCGCTCAACTGGCTAGACCTCGACTTAAAAGGGCTAGACTTCGCCCTGTTGACTTTCCAGATCTTGGAAGACAATGGAGCTGAATTTCGGGCATGGCTGGAATGGCTGGGCTAGTTTCCTCTTCGGCTTGTCTTCATGCATGAACTCAAGCTGTACAGCTTTGCAGAAATAGCGTGACCGCGGTTGGAGTTGAGATGAGAGTACTCGTAGTATGTTGTTTATTGAAGCCAAAACTGATCGCACGGCTGGCCATGAATGGCGAGAAACCGGCAAAAACCTCAAATGTATTTTGTGCGGGTGCGAATTGAAATATTATATGAAGCTTGAGAAGCTGAAAGTGTCCATGGCGCTCCGGTGCACTGGTGGGGTTCGCGTTGTTGTTTCTGGTTCTGGCATGCACCCCAACCTGCATTGCACTCACACTATGACCCTTGAGAGGGGGCATAAATATCTTTGTCAGCTTTGCCGGGGGCAATATACCTCAGGTGGCTCATTGATGGGTTTGGTATTTTGCCTCAGGTGGCAAGTTGAGTTTGAAACTGAAACGGCCTTGCAAGGTCAGAGGTGGGTGACCCTGCCGCTGTGTTTTGTTTATCAAAAAAAGAGTCGAGATGACGGTCCAATGACGGTGATGCTTGCTCTCTCCACAATTGGCTGCCGACTGCAAACTTTTGCAGGCTGCAGCGAGATTGAAATAGGATGCGCGCATGGCACGAAAAAAGGCAGAGGTTTTGAGCGGTTTCATTTGTGAAAGGGAAGCTCATTGACATGCAAAATCATTTGGCCGCGCAACGCATTACATAGATCAAACGACACGAGGTAAACTCGCCCGTCCACCAGATTGTGCCTCGTGGATACATGACAGCAACCAGAAAATGGGAACTGGGTTTAACCCGATCCTGGCCAGAGTATTTTGCCTCAGGTGGCAAGTTGAGTTTGAAACTGAAACGGCCTTGCAAGGTCAGAGGTGGGTGACCCTGCCGCTGTGTTTTGTTTGTCAAAAAAAGAGTCGAGATGACGGTCCAATGACGGTGATGCTTGCTCTCTCCACAATTGGCTGCCGACTGCAAACTTTTGCAGGCTGCAGCGAGATTGAAATAGGATGCGCGCATGGCAGGAAAAAAGGCAGAGGTTTTGAGCGGTTTCATTTGTGAAAGGGAAGCTCATTGACATGCAAAATCATTTGGCCGCACAACGCATTACATAGATCAAACGACACGAGGTAAACTCGCCCTTCAACCAGATTGTGCCTCGTGGATACATGACAGCAACCAGAAAATGGGAACTGGGTTTAACGCGATCCTGGCCATACTAATTCAATCCTGGCCAGACAGTGAATAGTCGGACAAATTTGAACTAAAGATCCCAGCCTCGGGGTGAAAGGCAAGATTCCCCTCTTTGTTTTTGAAATTATATCGTGCCCCCTTGTTCAACAAGTTGAAGGTGTTAGGTTTGTTAGGTGAGCTAGTTGCCAAAGACTGTTGACTCCATCCATGCAAGGGATCGTCGCTCAACTGGCTAGACCTCGACTTAAAAGGGCTAGACTTCGCCCTGTTGACTTTCCAGATCTTGGAAGACAATGGAGCTGAATTTGGGGCATGGCTGGAATGGCTGGGCTAGTTTCCTCTTCGGCTTGTCTTCATGCATGAACTCAAGCTGTACAGCTTTGCAGAAATAGCGTGACCGCGGTTGGAGTTGAGATGAGAGTACTCGTAGTATGTTGTTTATTGAAGCCAAACAAATTTGAACTAAAGATCCCAGCCTCGGGGTGAAAGGCAAGATTCCCCTCTTTGTTTTTGAAATTATATCGTGCCCCCTTGTTCAACAAGTTGAAGGTGTTAGGTCTGTTAGGTGAGCTAGTTGCCAAAGACTGTTGACTCCATCCATGCAAGGGATCGTCGCTCAACTGGCTAGACCTCGACTTAAAAGGGCTAGACTTCGCCCTGTTGACTTTCCAGATCTTGGAAGACAATGGAGCTGAATTTGGGGCATGGCTGGAATGGCTGGGCTAGTTTCCTCTTCGGCTTGTCTTCATGCATGAACTCAAGCTGTACAGCTTTGCAGAAATAGCGTGACCGCGGTTGGAGTTGAGATGAGAGTACTCGTAGTATGTTGTTTATTGAAGCCAAAACTGATCGCACGGCTGGCCATGAATGGCGAGAAACCGGCAAAAACCTCAAATGTATTTTGTGCGGGTGCGAATTGAAATATTATATGAAGCTTGAGAAGCTGAAAGTGTCCATGGCGCTCCGGTGCACTGGTGGGGTTCGCGTTGTTGTTTCTGGTTCTGGCATGCACCCCAACCTGCATTGCACTCACACTATGACCCTTGAGAGGGGGCGTAAATATCTTCGTCAGCTTTGCCGGGGGCAACATACCTCAGGTGGCTCATTGATGGGTTTGGTATTTTGCCTCAGGTGGCAAGTTGAGTTTGAAACTGAAACGGCCTTGCAAGGTCAGAGGTGGGTGACCCTGCCGCTGTGTTTTGTTTATCAAAAAAAGAGTCGAGATGACGGTCCAATGACGGTGATGCTTGCTCTCTCCACAATTGGCTGCCGACTGCAAACTTTTGCAGGCTGCAGCGAGATTGAAATAGGATGCGCGCATGGCAGGAAAAAAGGCAGAGGTTTTGAGCGGTTTCATTTGTGAAAGGGAAGCTCATGGACATGCAAAATCATTTGGCCGCGCAACGCATTACATAGATCAAACGACACGAGGTAAACTCGCCCTTCAACCAGATTGTGCCTCGTGGATACATGACGCAACCAGAAAATGTGAACTGGGTTTAACGCGATCCTGGCCAGACTAATTCAATCCTGGCCAGACAGTGCAATTGTCAGACAAATTTGAATTAAAGATCCCAGCCTGAGGGTGAAAGGCACGATTCCCCTGTTTGTTTTTGAAATTATATCGTGCCCCCTTGTTCAACAAGTTGAAGGTGTTAGGTCTGTTAGGTGAGCTAGTTGCCAAAGACTGTTGACTCCATCCATGCAAGGGATCGTCGCTCAACTAGCTAGACCTCGACTTAAAAGGGCTAGACTTCGCCCTGTTGACTTTCCAGATCTTGGAAGACAATGGAGCTGAATTTGGGGCATGGCTGGAATGGCTGGGCTAGTTTCCTCTTCGGCTTGTCTTCATGCATGAACTCAAGCTGTACAGCTTTGCAGAAATAGCGTGACCGCGGTTGGAGTTGAGATGAGAGTACTCGTAGTATGTTGTTTATTGAAGCCAAAACTGATCGCACGGCTGGCCATGAATGGCGAGAAACCGGCAAAAACCTCAAATGTATTTTGTGCGGGTGCGAATTGAAATATTATATGAAGCTTGAGAAGCTGAAAGTGTCCATGGCGCTCCGGTGCACTGGTGGGGTTCGCGTTGTTGTTTCTGGTTCTGGCATGCACCCCAACCTGCATGCACTCACACTATGACCCTTGAGCGGGGGCGTAAATATCTTTGTCAGCTTTGCCGGGGGCAATATACCTCAGGTGGCTCATTGATGGGTTTGGTATTTTGCCTCAGGTGGCAAGTTGAGTTTGAAACTGAAACGGCCTTGCAAGGTCAGAGGTGGGTGACCCTGCCGCTGTGTTTTGTTTGTCAAAAAAAGAGTCGAGATGACGGTCCAATGACGGTGATGCTTGCTCTCTCCACAATTGGCT